TCTGGCAGCATCTGTGAAGAGAAATCAGAGTTAATATTTCAGGTCCGGTGACCCTTCCTCAGGACTGGCCACCAGACCCGAAAAGTTAACTCTGATTTCTCTTCACAGATGCTGCCAGACCTGCTGAGCTTTACCAGCAAATTCTGTTTTTGTTTCTGATTTACAGCATCTGCGGTTCTTTTGGTCTTTATTGAGTGAATCAGTTATGTTCCAATTTGTAAGAGTTAAAGCCAAGCATAAAGGAGTCACATTTAATCCAAGCTAATGCATATACTCATTCATCATATCATAGACATCCCAATGCACAATATATTTTTCTACATTACTGGTACATTACCATGGATCTTCACGTATTACTAACATATATTAGCAACATCATTGGTTTGTATTAGCTGTCAAATGAGCTCTTAGAATAATAGAATCTCTACAGTATGGAAGAAGGCCATTAGGCCTTCCGAAGGGCATCCGATGCAGACCCATCCCCCTAACGTTTCCCATGTAATCCTGCATTTCCCATGGCGAATCCACCCAGCCTGCACATCCCTGAACACTATGGATAAATTAGCCTGACCAGCCCGCCTAACCTGCACATCTTTAGATTGTGGGAGGAAACCGGAGCACCCAGATGAAACCTACGCAGACGTGGGGAGAATGTGCAAACTCCACGCAGAGTCAAGTCTGGGTCCCTGGGGCTGTGAGGCAACAGTGCTAACCACTGAGCCACTGTGCCACCTATCTTGGAATTGTCAATTTTTTTGTAGTCTTGTACTTGAATATTACATGAATTTTAACATCCATACTTTGTTGTGTAAAACATATAATTTAGCGTGCAACAAAGGTGAAGTATCTCTCTGCATTTACCCATACATCATGAGATACCAAAGAATAAAGTGTACAGCTTGATGGAGGTCTTAACAGAGATCAATCTAGAGGGAACCACAATCTAGAATACAAAGTAAAAGGACTGGCATGAAAGGACAAAATGATCTGGTCTCAGAGTGATAAAAATTATGGTCCACATTTTGTGGTCAGTCTGAAGGAGTGGTTCTCACTCTTCACCTCGCTGACATCCACACAAAGTTCTCTCAGGTTTTTGAGCAGACATAGCTCAAATCCAGACATGAATTTTCACTCATAAGGCCATGCGCCGAGCATCTGGAGGTGGTGGACATGATTTCATTCCACACCTGCTCTCCCCTTATCCTGAAAGACAGTCTCACCATTTGGCCATTTTTCCTAAACTGGGGACTTGCTCTGCGCACCTGACCTTTATGAGTGAAAATTGAAGCATGGATTTGAGCATGTATCCACTCAAAAGCCTGAGTCATGTAGGACAGCATATTTCCTTTTGCCAAAAACATTAATAGATCAGATGGGTCTTTACAATGGTCACTGATGTTTTCATGGGCATCATTACTGAGACCAGTTTTAATTCTAGATTTACTAACTGAATTGAAGTTTCACTGGCTCCCATGGTGGGATCTGAACCCACATCCCCAAAGCATTAACCTGGGCCTCTATATTAAGAGTCCAATGATGCTAGCACTGCACTTCCAACCCCCCGTTTTACTCTCAGAGATGCAAGCGCACAAGTTTCTTTTTAGTTTATAAAGATCTGGGGATTAATGTAACTTAGGAGATGTAAGTTGTATACACAATATCCAATCTTTCAGAGCGTTTAAGTCTATTCTAAAAGTTTGTGACACTGATACAGCAATAGGGGAGTCTGTTTGACCTCAACAATTGGATTAAATGACCATGCTGAGTTTGGGTTTCCTGCATGTTTGAGTCTCTTCCCACCCTCAATGCTCTATCTCCTGGTATCCTCCCCAATAAAATTTGCTCTTGCTGGATATTGACTTCAGGAACTGGGGTCTGTCTTCCATTTTGGATACACTGGCTCCTTGACAATCCTGGCCCCACATCCTCACCTAATACACTGCCTTCTAAAATGGATCTGTGATAACTACTTTGATTTACAGTTTGAAGTTTTGATATGTTTCTGCATGTTTATATGAGCAACTGCTCATTCTTGACCAGAGTGTAGTAGAGAAATACAAGAAGGCAGGGTGTTTCAAATTTATGTCTCTTTAAAAAATGGCTTAAATATTCTTTTTAAATTTTCATTTGTAAGTTGGTTTCTTCTTCAACAGTTTCTGAGCTGTTATTTTTTTTCTTGGCTACTTCATTTTGCCACAATTAACATTAGTCTATTACAGAATTGCCTTTTTCTGTTTTATTCCTTCTTTACTTAATCTCTGAGACATGTTCTCCATTCTGAGAAAAAAAATTGGGACTCAGAAATACCAACCAGAGTTGTTTTTATTTCCTCAGTCATTTGATAACCATGACTAAATTATTTGGACATGCTGTCAGTTATTTTCTGGACCTAGTCTATATATTATCTTTCTCAATACATTAGTTATTCATGAATTGATTCTTTCACTGTTAAGAGTCAACCATGCCCATTGAAGAGTATGTAGGTTGCTTAATGATAAATGAGATTTTTGGAGCAATTGGTGTGTTAAGCCCTTGATAAATATTATAATAAGTACATGAGGAAAGGATGAACTTACAATTATGTGGCAGTTTTCTCAGATTTTCCAAGGTGCTTTACAGTAAATGAAGTATTTTTAAAATGTAGTTTCTGTTGTAAGTTGGAAAAAACATGGCAGCCAATATGTGCACAGCAAGATTCCACAAACAGCACTGCAATAAATGATTACTTTGGTGGTGGTGATCAAGAATAATAAATGCTGGTCAGGGCAGTTGGGAAGTTCTGCTGTTCTCCTTAAAATTATGCCATGGAATCTATTATATCTGCATAATTTGGTGAAACAGAGGGGAACACTACAACCAATTTGCATCAACAAGGTCCCACAAATGAGAAAATATTTGTGATGTTGGCTTCAGAAGGGCCTGCCTGGCAGATGCCAGTGGGGGTGGCAGGGGTGGGGAGGTGAGTGTCTTGGATTGAGAGTCAGGACGATGGGATTAAAGGTGGATGTGAATGCCCTGACAGGCACATGGGATTCCCAAAAGAGGTTCCCCACTCTTGCTTGTGGCAAGTCTGTGTCTCAAACCAAGATACTCATGCCCCTCAGTTTGCCAACTGAACTCTGCTGAAACCCCAAATGTACTTTAAAAATGACTCTATAACCTTTGGTGGCCACTGCATCTACTTCAAGCATTGGTTCGATTTCAAACTAATCTTATTAAAATAATCAGTAGTTCTTTAAGGCAAGACTTCCTCACCAGATTGGGACTAAAATTTTCCCCTGAGGTAACTAACAGTGCAAGCAGATTTCTTCTTTTCATTTCTCCCCCATTGTGCTAATCTAATCTCTCTTTAAATGTATTATTCTATTTAGTTCAACCACTCCCTGTGATAGTGAGTTCCACGTATTCACCATTCCCTGAATTAAAACATGTCTTCTGAATTCCTTGTTTGATTTCTTGGTTAGGGATAGCAGGAACTGCAGATGCTGGAGAATCTGAGATAACAAGATGTAGAGCTGGATGAACACAGCAGACCAAGCAGCATCAGAGGACCAGGAAGGCTAAGGGTCTAGGCCCGAAACACCAGCCTTCCTGCTCCTCTGCTGCTGCTTGGCCTGCCGTGTTCATCTAGCTCTACATCTTGTTATGTCTTGATTTCTTGGTGACTGTTTCATAATACTGGCCTCTAGTTTTGCTTTTCCACAAAAGTAGAAACATTCACTCTGACATTCCTCTGTCAAAACTTTTCATAGTTCTCAAGACTCTTTTCAGGTCATCCTACAGCTTTCTGAAAAGAGAGCCAGCTAGCTCATCCTTTGCTGGTGGATATATACTTCATCCCTGTTTGTTTGAAGTGGAGGGTGTTAATGGCTGTCACAGATTGCATGTAAGGACAATGACAGCAGCAGTGGAGATCATATGAGCCAGTATACTAAGTACAATTTCTCCAAAAGTCCGCCTTTCATGAAAAAATGCATTTTAATTTGCATTTACAAGTTACACAAGTTATCCGATATAAGCTGTCACAATGAAAATTATAATTCATTAACAAAACATTGTGTTAACTGCCTCCAGATTTGCAGGCAGCTCTCCATGTGTGGTCTGACCGATGTTAGAATTTGGTAGGAAGAATGAGGAAAGACAATATAAAATAAAATGTAGCAGTCTAAACAAGATGCAGAAACAAAATGATCAGGAGGTATATATGCACAAAATGAAGTTTGAGAAAACAATGAATAAGGAATCCTGTGCTTGGTAAGTGGAGGCATAGAGCACAGAAGTAAGGAAATTATAATAAACCATTATAAAACACTGACTTGGCCTCAACCGGAATATTGTGTTAAATTCTGGGCATTACACATTAGAAACATTAGAAGGCATTGGAGAAGTTGCAGAAAAGAATCACAAAACTAGTTCCAGGAATGAAGGAATTCAGTTATTATGTTAGATTAACAAAGCTAGTGCTGTTCTTTTTTCAGAAGATGATATTAAGAACAGTTTTGTTGGAGCTACGTAAAATCATGAGGCGACTGACCAGAGTAGATAGGGAGAAATTGTTCTCATTGGCAGATGGGTTGAGAACTAAAGTACGTTGATAGGGCAGCACAGTGGCTCAGTGTTTAGCACTGCTGCCTCACAGCGCCAGGGTCCTGGGTTCAGTTCCACGTTGGGTGACTGTCTGTGTGGAGTTTGTACGTTCTCCCTGTGTCTGCGTGGGTTTCCTCTGGGTGTTCTGGATTTCCCCCCACAATCCAAAGATGTGCAAGATAGGTGGTTTAGCCATGGGGAATGGGGTGGGGGGCTTTTAATGGGATAAGGTAGCGTGGTGAGTCTGGGTGGGAAGCAGTTCGAAGGGTTGGTGTAGACTTGATGCTCTGCGTCTGTGAGGATTCTATGATTTGAAGTGATTAATACAACAGTGACAATAGACATTGGGTTTTGCTGAAAATACAAGAAACAATTTAAGATTATTAGTCAGGTTCACAACATGGCTCACTTACATGTGCTAGAAGTTACATATTCACACACAGGGCCCTGTCCTTTACAAACAGAAAGAACATGCCCATGCATTGCAGTTTTCAATTAAACAAAAGCTTGGGGGACAGCCATTCTTTGTGGCTTTTTGATGGCAACGTTTGAATAATCAGAGTTGACAAAGTTTGAATTCATGCAATAGCTTAACAGTTAACTGTTCCATGTTGCATTTTCCATGGCAGTTTCTTCCAATCAGAGTTCACTTGCCAATCATCCAACACCCTCTTCCCATGTAAAGTAAATTGTTGTTCCCTTTGAGATTTGGTATTTTTACAATTCTGCCCTGATGAGAGCTAGAAAAGATTTGACGTCACGTACCTTTTTATTAGCAATAATATTAATTGTTTGTTTCCAAACTTGTCAAGACTAAAATAAATTAAGCCAGTTTATGTAGCATCTGATTGTAGTATAAATGTAAACCAGATAATTGCAAAGTTACACATCTTGGCCTTGTTGTGCGATGTGTTTTGATTATTGATTTTATGCTATGTAAAATACGTAAATAATGTAGTTAACCTGATATAGTTGGATTGTGCTTCAAGAATCACAGAGCCAGTTTTCTGCATTTTCGTCATTTAGGGAAGTTAGTCCAGCACAACTGAAATAGTAAGTTCAAGTCCATAAACTGTTCAATGATTGGTGGATAGTCTGAACATGAATTTTTAGATAATTGCTTTCTGAAATTATGGTTTGTTTCCCAATTTATTGGTGAATCGCTTATGATCCCTTTTCCATTTAATCAAAATAAACAAATTTTAAATTGATGGGCCAAATCTTGTTTACTTTTCCCCTTTTGCCTTTATTCTTTGCAATCAACATTTAAAATTGCTAGTTTTATTATTATTATTGGTGATTGATGATCTCACAGAACACTGCGTGCATTCTGTTGGACGACTGGCAATCATTCACTGATTTATACCCTCAAACAAATATAAGTTGCATGGGACTTAGTCTTATTTCTCTCTTGAATGGCCATGATTCATTATTATAGTGAAATGATAAGCTATACCTATGAATGGATTTACGATTTTGATTTATAGAATGAACAGCAAAATTATTTTTTTCTATCAAGTGCACATCTGTGAAACTTCAAATTGTCAGAAGTATTGTAAACAAGGAAGTAAGACAGTCAGATTTGGTTACTTTGAACTGAATGTTTTTAAACATCTTTCAATCTACATAGTTGCAAGTTTACAAACACCTCCAAATTTCATCAGCTATGACAAATGACATGTGATTGATCTCAAATAAATTAGATTTAGTAGCCTGAAAATAGAAAAAGCTAGATTAATCTTAGTTCCAACTAAAAGAATAGAATAATAGATTGTTTATACATGTTATAATGCTCCTGCTGTTATAAAATAGGATACAGTTGGACTTGAACTCACAAATCCACAAGAGGCCCATTACTTTATTCCTTTATTGTATTACTTTAATTACTTTATTAAAGATAATACAGTTTTGCTGCATTACACCAGATGGATAGCACCAATGTATACAGACCAGAAGCTTACAGACTGCATTTCTAGTCTCTGTCAATGCTAATGTCTGTAAAGTACAAAAGTTTGCTCCAGCTAGCATTTTGTGATTTGGGTTATAGGAAGCTAAATTTTAACTAAGGTTACTGTGGCATCTACTGGAAAGCATATAAGAGTGCAGAAGGTCATATGATAAGATCGTGCTTGATCCAGACACTTTTAATGCTCAAGAAGTCTGATGATATCCACTCTCACATGTTCACACATTTTGAATAACCAGTTGGACCAAGTGTCCCAATGAATTTATCTCAACAAGAAACAGAAGTTTCCGAAGATGAACTAAAGATAAAATTATATACTGTTAATGACCTCTATTTGTTTTCTTTCAGCCTAAGTACGCTTTAAACCATATAAACCGAAAGTTGACCCTGGAGCCAAAGGTGACCATCAATTCACGAATTGTAGTGGTTGGTGCTTCAGATGTTGGGATCTCCTTTCTTGAAACATTGGTCTTCTGGTAATACAATTCTGCATTAATTATAGTTTGTGATAATTGTGCATAGAGTGATGGTAGTGAAAATATGCTACTGTGCCTAGTGTGCCTTAAACTGTAAGACTATATCTTGAAGATTTTTTAAAATATTGGTA